GACGAAATTCACTGTGACGAATCAAAATCGTTGTGTTTTTATTGTGTTTATAATGACGCATACGTATAATTTGTCATCATACAACTTTCTTTTGTGACGATATGGTATAATGCATCTATATTCGGCACAATAATACATATCGTGACGAAATTCTCTGTGACAATAAAAATCGTTGATTTTTATTTGTATTTAAAATGACGCTAACGTATAATCTGTCATTATTACTTTTTCTAGCTCGGAAATGGTTCCAAGAGGTATAACTTTTTAAGTTTTGAGATCATCACAACACCAACAACATGAATTATTTCACCATGTCCACTTTCATCATAAACAGTTAATGTAATGGATAATTAGTATTATTCTGTATTACATGATGCACTCACAACCTCAACTTTCCTAAACATATCCATTCAAGAAATTACCCTATTTGTAATATTAGAACTGTAACTGGAATCAAACTAAAAAAGGAGTTTATGTAATTTCAAAAACTTTTCTGAGACCTTTTGGAATTACCAATGACACCAAGCATTAAGGTTCTCTTGTATTATCCCAGACCACCCTACCAAATATTAAACTCAATTGCAAGATAATAGTCATAAATCAAGCAAATCCTAAGAAAACTCATCCTCCGCTAAATAACAGTCATTAAAATTACAATTATATATATCCAATCTCACTGGAGCGGATCTAGTGGGCGCGAACAAAAAGTTCTGAAACCATCTAAACTGAATCAAAATTCAAATAAAACGTCTACTGTTCAAATGTCTGAACAAATAAGTATGCTAAATGTTGATAAAAGCCTGGACATAGAAAATCACGTTGAACATGATAAAAGCTCTGAAACCAGACTATAATCATGAAATGAGTTCTCTGGATATAGATCTTATGATAACCCTGAAAATGATGCAGTTTCGTAGTAACATTCTTCTCATATTAAAAGCCTGCAAAAGAAAATCACGCTGAAATCTCAGATTCGACATTATCGAATCTTTTTTGGAGTAAAGGTAACAAAAATAGATAATTTAGAGAAGAAGATACAAAAGAGATGTACCCATGAAGTACAACATAAGTATTCAACATATATTCATAGAAAATCTATCACATTTGAAAGGGTTTCATCATCTGGAAACAACTCCAGAGATTTTTAAGAACAAACAAAAACTGACCCACAAGAAAACTCCAAATTCAAAGTAAGTGAAAGCTTCACTTATCAAATCATGGAGCGAAATGAGGAAAAGACAACCAAATCCGGTAAATCTGTAACTTATCAAAACATATATTGTTAAAAGACAAATTAGGGAACTTTAACCATATACTGTCAGATGATTAATCATATAATTACAGACCAAATGAGCAACAGTACTCTAAATTAGTCAAAATCTAAAGAAATTTTGACAAAAAATATATAAAAATGCAATTCAACATAAAATTTCCATCTTCTTGGAAACATTGGGTGGTTTCAAAAATAAAATAAAAACAAATCTCCAAAAGAACATAATGCATCACCATCTTGCCATCAATTTAAAGCATAACACTAAAAACTTGTTAATAAACATTAATTTTAGAAAGAAAAGGAGTTCAAAATGTACTCACTGCTCACTTTTTTTCAGAATAAAACAGCAAAAAAAAAAAGGGCCAAAATAATCAAAACTTGCAATAAATTAAGTTTTTAGATTACCAGCCATCATTTTTTTCACTCCCTTGTCAGTAAAATTTTATTGGACTGGAAACACTCGCAACTCTCACCCTGAATTTTCGTGCCTGCATAGAAATATTACGAATTATCAAAAGACAAGCAATAGATAAAGCACAAGGTAACACATAAAAATATAGGAATAGATATTTGAATGATCAATCATTAATCTCACAAGTCACAACCATACCAGTCAATGTCGTCATCACTATCAGAAGTGTTACTTTTTTCAGAATCTTCTACACTACTACAATAGTCAACCAACGTGTCATCGGGCTCATCTTCTTCAATGACATCATCTATGTTTACGAACTCTGCAATATCCGGTAGTGTTTCTATCATTGATTCCTCAATATCTTGAGAATCCACGTCATTCCTACCTAGTGATTCTAATTCATCAACACTAACTTCAAGTGCATCATTTACTTCATTCTCTTGGTATACACCATCTTCCATAGAAAACAAATCATTAGGGCCTATTTCATCATCTGGCATCTCATCAACATCATAGACATGCGTATGCTGGAATGGTTGCACTACTCGCCAGTCACTTCCTAATTTAGGATCACTGATGTAGAAAACTTGTCTAGCTTGATTAGCTAATATGTAAGGGTCGTTCTCATACCATCTTTTGGTAATCCGAACACTTACAATATTCCCCTCTTTTTCTAACCCTTTTCGTTTTTTGCCCCCGAGATCAAACCATTCACATTTGAATATGGTAATATGCCTATCTTTCACATAGTCAAGCTGAATTATATCAAATACAACACCATAAAATTCAAGTGTATCTTCTTCGTGGTTACCCTCCACATAGATACCGCTATTTTGGGTATTACGACGACCATCACGGTCTTTCGTTAGAAATCTTACGCCATTGACAATACATCCAGCGTACTTTCTAACACATTTGCTTGGGGCACATGCAAGTGAGTACAAAGATTCATTTGCTTCTGTTGGATTCTCGTGATATGGATGCATCATCTTAATAAGATAAAATATCAACTAATTAAATAAAAATTTAATTAAAATGAAAAGAAAGAGTAAAGATAAAACGATGAAATATTTTGTATTTGCAAGGCCTTTACATGTTTTCTGAACCACGAAGGAAATTTTTCTCTATGCTCTTGGTTTATGTTTCCACAACCAGCTAATAATAGCTCTTGTATGTGCTTCCTGCATTGATATAGATATTTAAGAAAAAATAAAGTGTAATAATATTATATGTATATGTAAAATATAATTTTATACTTACTCAATATAAGGTTGAACCTCTTCACAATTCTGAAAGACAAACCATTGTACCGTGTTAAACTCTTCCTCTGATAACTCAAAAAGTGTTGTTGCTCCAAAGTGGCGACATTTTGCAGAAAATATTGATAGACTATCATCAACTGTTATATCACAATTTCTATCATCTTTGTTAAATCTAGTCTCAATTCCCCGCAAGTGCATGGAGCAAAAAGTTAACGACACCTTGCTATCATCTCTGTTTCTGCAATTGAACGGTAATTCATATTAAACGGTAATTCATATTAAATCTATGAGCTTCTATCATCTCTGTTTCTGCAATGGATCCTTCCAAATGAGCTTTATTAGTTACACCTTGCTTCAAGTCGCCTAAGAATCTAAAAAAACGAGAACAATATTATAAAAAAAATTCACAAGAAGAATTATAAATAAGAAGCTCATAGTTTAATATGAATTACCGTTCAATTGGAAACATCCATCTGAATAGAGCCGGGCCACCTATTGTTGGGTTTGATATACTGTACGGAACAGAGTTTGCAGCGGAATTTAAAATTTTATAAGTATTTATCTTATAAATACTTATTCCGTACATAAGTATAACGAGATAACAAATAAGCATCATTTAAAATCTAGTAACTTTTACTAAGTTTGATTTGATATGTAATTTATAAAAATTACCTTTTGATGTGGTCGTTAGTAGCGGCTCATGAAGGACCGGTTGTGATCCGGGTTCTAGTCGCACTCAGCTGGGTGGTTCAATTTGGTAGGCGGGTGCTTTGGTAGGCGGATGCTTTGGTAGGCGGATGCTTTGGTAGGCGAATGCTTTGGTAGGCGGAGGCTCTGGTAGGCGTAGCCCATGATACCTTTGGAGTACATGGGTGGTAGGCGGAGGTTAGCTCAATGTGAGCTAGGCAGGGCACCTTGGCACCTAGGTGGCTGGACGTTCTGCTGGGGAGACCGACTCCAGAGATGGTATCGTGCTCAAGTCATGAAGAGGTTCACAACCTCAAGGATTCTTAGGATTTTGACTTAATCTGATGGGAAGACTCCTAGTATGATAAGAACTCTTCAATCTCCAGATGACTTCGTCTATAAAAGGGGCGCAGGTTATTTCATTTACACAACACACACACACAAAAATTCTCTCGTTACTCTGCCGTTTTTCCTTTGGACCACCACTGACTTGAGCGTCGGAGTATTCGCGCCGGGACCACCCCCGGCGTGTTTTGCAGGTACCGGCGATCAAGGAGACGTAACCCGGTTCGAAGAGGAGCGATCTAGCGGTTCAAGTGTTTGTGGAATAACAAATTGGCGCCGTCTGTGGGGAGAATCAGTCTTCTACCGGAGCATTAAAGGCTGTTTTTTCTCACCAAGAACAACTATCATGGTAGGAGATAATTCAAAGAAAAGCTTGACTAAGGAGATGGATGATGAGTGGGCTCGGAGGGCCTTCGGAATAGGTCCCCCGCTAGGATGGTCACCCTCGTCTGTCACCCCCAAAGAGACGCTGTTGGGCCCAAGTGTGACCCTGGTACCACCACCAGAAGTTGAGGGGCGCGTGGTAAACCAGGGAGGATCAGGTGGTTTGACAGACAAAGCGAAGGAGGTGGGCACCACGGTTGATGGTAGGGCGAATCAAGGCGCTTTGGGATCTGGAGGTGTTGGTGACCAGAATGGTGTCCCCGGTAGTAGGCAGTTGGTCATGGTAAGTGCACAAAACCTTCCGGTGGACAATGTTTCTACGGCACCACGGGAGGACCCAATTATTCAGATGACTAGGTCGGAGTTGGACAAGATTATTGCTGAGGCGATAGGTCGGGCGCAGGAGGTGGATAAGAGAGCACCTAACGAGTCGTTTCGACAACCTCCGCCACGACAGCCACTAGCACCACAAGAACAGGTCCTCTCACATCAGCAACAACACCAGCGCTTGGAGAGGGGCGATGAGGATGAGGCCAGGTCGGCGACCTCTCACCCGGTGGCAACGACACAACTAGATGGGTTAACTTTGGAAAGGTTGGCGGCTCAAATGCGAGAACTCCAAGCCCGGGTGCAGGGTAAGAGACCTGTAGTTTCACGGGGAGACCCTTTTGCCGAGGATGTCTTAGGAGGGGATTTGCCTAGAAACTTCAAGGAGTTGAGCTTGTCCTATGATGGATCGGCGGACCCAGCTAGGCATTTGAGATCGTTTGACAACATAGCTGTGTTGCACAGGTATAGTGACGCTATAAGTTGCCGAGCCTTCTTGACAACGCTGAAGGGGTCGACGCAGGATTGGTTCCACCAGCTGCCGGCGGGGTCTATCGATAGCTTCGAAAAGTTTAGTTCTTTGTTTCTGAATCAGTTCGCGAGCGCCAGGAAGCACGAGAAGACGTATCTCTTACTAATCAATATGCAGCAGAAGGAGGGGGAGACCTTGCGGCAATATGTAGCGCGGTATACCAAAGAGTGCGTGGAGGTTCCCTCTGCCTTGGAAGAGATCAAAGTTGGAGGCCTTACGCGGGGGTTGAGGCCGGGGAAATGCAGAGATTCGTTGGCGAAGAGGCCGGCGAGGTCCTTTGACGAGTTACTTGAGAGGTGTAGCAAATATGTGAACATGGAGGAATCGGAGGCGGACTTCATCCGAAATGACAAAACAAAGGCCAAACAGGTAAACGAGAGGCCTCGACAGGGTGATCGGCGAGCTCCCCCTAAGGAGGCTAAGGTCGAGGATCGATTTAGGGGTCCAAGGTGTGCGCATTACTAACCGCTTAATGCACCACAACAGGAGATCTTGGAGACAATGGAAAAACGGGGGGAGGACAAGTTGCTGGCGCAGCCAAAGCCTCTACCCCCACCGAGGAAGTTCTCGGCATCAAAGGATAGGTATTGTCGGTACCACCGCGATTATGGCCATGCAACAAATTTCTGTCGGGAGTTGAAGGATGAAATCGAGCGGCTCATCAGAGCTGGTCACTTAAAAGAGTTCGTGATTAAGGACAAAGAGCGCCAGGACGATCGTCGGGAGGGGCGAGAGTCGGGTGACAAACGGAGGAGGGCTGATGAGCAATCTGACAGACCAGTTAAGAGGGGCATAATACACATGATCGGGGGAGGTCCTACGGATGGAGACTCGCATAGGGAGAGGAAGAGGACCTACCGAGGAAAGAGTGTGGCAGGAGAGGTGGCCGCGGTGCAGGTGCAGAGAAGCTCGGCCACTTTGAAGTTTGGAGTTGACGATGTGCAGGGGATCGTTGTCCCACATAACGACGCTTTGGTCATCACTGCGGAGGTGGCCAGTTACGACGTGCAAAGGGTGCTTATAGACACGGGGAGCTCAGCAGACATCATCTTGTTGAAGTGTTTGCAGCAGATGGAGTTAGATGTGAAAGTCGAGCCAGTACACACTGCTCTTTATGGCTTTAGTGGTAGTGAGGTTCGCCCCGTAGGCGAAGTTAGCTTAACGGTGGCGTTAGGAAGGTCACCTTTGAGAAAGGTGAAGATGGTGCGCTTTCTGGTCGTGGATGCTAGCTCGGCCTACAACATCATACTGGGTCGACCTAGCTTGAATTCGTTCCAGGCAGCCATTTCGACATATTTCATGAAGATTAAATTACCTGTAGGAGATGAGGTTGGAGAGGTGACTGGGGACCAGCTGCAATCTCGGCGGTGCTATGAGGTCACCTTGAAGACGGCTGAGGCACAACACAGGAAAAGGAAGGATGACCTACCTGAGAGCTCCCACCGGGAGAAGAGGCAAGAGCTGGGGATGAGCTCTCAGGACGAACTTATGGAAGTTGAATTGATAGAATGTAGTTCAGACAAGACAACCAAAGTGGGTCGGCATTTGGCGGCCAACGTACAAGGTGCGCTGATTGCACTGTTGAAGGAGTTTGTCGATGTTTTTGCCTTCTTGACCGGCGACCTTACAAGAATCGATCCCGAGCTAGCGGAGCACAGGTTAAACATCGATCCAACTATGAAGCCGGTGAAGCAAAAGAGGAGGCACTTTGGTGCCGAGCTGGACGTGGTTATTGAGGCAGAGGTGGAAAAGTTGTTAAAGGCGGGGCATGTGCTACCCATTCAGTTCCCGGAGTGGTTGTCCAACTCAGTCATGGTAAGGAAGGGAGAAGGAAAGTGGAGGATGTGCATAGACTTCAGGGATCTCAACAAAGCGTGCCCCAAAGATCACTACCCCTTACCTCGTACTGACCAGCTCGTCGACTCTACAGCTGGGTGCGAGCTGTTGAGCATGATGGATGCATCCCAGGGGTCCCACCAAATACCTCTCGCCAAAGAGGACCGGAAGAGGGTTAGCTTTGTGACATCCAAGGGCACCTATTGTTATGTTGTCATGCCTTTCGGACTAAAGAATGCAAGAGCTACCTACCAGCGGTTGGTGGATAAGATGTTCAAAGGGCAGATTGGTAGGAATATGGAGGTCTACGTTGATGACATGCTAGTAAAGAGCAGGAAGGCGGGTGATCATGTGGTAGACTTACGCAAGACCTTGAGTACCCTGCGGCGGTACGGCATGAAGCTCAACCCGGCTAAGTGCAAGTTCGGGGTAAGGTCAGAAAAATTTCTGGGCTACTTGGTCACGGAGAAGGGCATAGAGGTCAACCCAGAGAAGGTACGAGCTGTTTTGGAGATGCGAGCGCCGAGAAACTTGAGAGAGGTGCAGATCCTCACCGGTCGCCTAGCCGGGTTGAGCAGATTCATAGCTCAATCCGCAGAGAAGAGTTTTCCATTTTTTAAGGCTTTGAAGAAAGGGTCGCGTTACGAATGGACGCCACAAGCACAGCAGGCCTTTGAAAGGTTGAAGGAGTTTCTAGCTGAACTACCCTTACTTACAAAACTGGAACCGGGCGACACATTAGTGATATACCTGTCGGTGGGGCATGAAGCAATCAGTTCGGTGCTGATAAAGGAGGATCATGGACAACAAAAGTCGATATACTATGCCAGTCGAATATTGCAGGGCGCCGAGCATCGATATTCAGACGTGGAGAATGCAGCATTGGCACTTATCTCTACAGCCAGGAAATTGCGTCCTTACTTTCTAGCACATAAGGTCATGGTGCGTACCAACTACCCGCTCAAAGATACTTTGGGTCGCCCTTCGGCCTCGGGGAGGATGGTGAAGTGGGCGGTTGAGTTGGGAGAATATAACGTGGACTTTGAAGTGTGAAAAGCCATTAAGGCCCAGGCACTGGTGGACTTCATACAGGAGTACACTCTGGGAACCGAGAGGGGACCGTGGATGGTGTACGTCGACAGCTCGTCGGCGGTGGGAGGAGCAGGTCTGGGCATCTTGGTGGTCACACCAGAGAAGGACCACTTAGAGTTTGCGGTCAAGTTGTCCTTCAGGGTGTCAAATAATGAGGCGGAGTACGAAGCTCTCATTAAGGGAATTCAGCTCATCCTAAAGGAAGGAGCTCGTCAGGTGATCATTCACTCGGATTCTCAACTTGTGGTCGAACAGATCAAGGGTGAGTATGAAGCTAAGGAAGAGCGCATGAAGAGGTACCTGGCCGAGGTCCAAGCGATGTTAAAAGGATTTGCGGCGTGGGAGTTGATACAAATACCGCAGGGAGAAAATGGTAGGGCCGACCTACTCTCAAAGGTGGTCGCGTCTCTAGTTGACTGTCGATCCCGGTCGGTGACACTAATGGATATGACTAGGAGTACTTTAGACTTGGTGTTGGAAGTTGAAGAGCAAAGGGACTGGAGGTCGCCCTAAATACAATGGTTGCAGGAGCCGGTAGTCGGAAAAGATATTAGGGACGACCCGGTCGGGAGGAGAGCATTGAGGTTCTACCTGCAGAATGGGATTCTATATAAACGGTCGTACGTAGGGCCTCATCTAAGGTGTGTCTCGGAGGAGGACGGAGAGTACGTGCTGAGAGAGGTGCATGAAGGGTGTTGCGGCGATCACCTAAAGGCTAAGCCGTTAGTTGGAAAGGTGCTTCGGGCTGGTAATTGGAGTTAGGAGGTAATTGGTTCAAAGGCATGTTATACAATCCGCTAAGTTGTAGCAAGTCGGGATGAACGGGGAATCTCAACCCGGCGTTTACTTGGTCTAGGAAGAAAGTGAAATGGCCGGGTGGGGGGCTATCGTACGTGTCTGTGGGAGTTGGAAGTTTAAGTTCCCAATCTCGGGGTAACTCCATTCTCCTAACAAGTGTAGCTACTTGGGTGTCCGAATACGAGCATATGGGATTGGGAGGTACGGCTTGAGAGGGGGTAGCATCCTCTTTTGCGCTAGTGTTGTGAGGAGCCTTTGGAGCCGGAAGGGCCAAGGCGACGGTGGGTGACCCTACAGGTAAGGTCCGTGGAGGTGAGGGTGATTTCCACCTAGTGTCATTCGCGGAGGCCGAACTAGTGTTACTCACGAAGGTAGGGCTAGTATGACTAGTCGAAGTAGAGCTAATGGTGGTTGAGGAAGGTGAGTTGGGGTCATTCGGTTGGGTGGATTTTTCTAAGGTATGCGTAGGTAGGCGTAGCCGAATGACAAGCGAAAAAGAAAATGAAAATAGAATGTTGGTATGTAAGAATATGGCCTGCACGAAAGCACAAGAAAAATAGAGAACGGATGTAATAAGATAGAAAAAAGGAAGGCGTATCCATAAAACTTGCCGATGCCGCCATGGTGGGTGAAGTGTTGGTCGGTAAAGGGAAGTGGTCAGCGTGAAGGCTCGGTCACATTGGCACGGTTGCGTGGTACGCGAGAAGGCTCGGGGTCGGCGGTGCACGTGGTTGATGGAGCGTGTGGTCGGTGGAGTCGTATGCTCGTCGAAAGAGAAATTACCAGATTAAAAAGAGGTTACAAGCTTTCTCTTTTAGAGAGAGAATTTTTTGTGATAAGAAGAGGAGAGAAGGGGTGGTTTTTGAGGTGAAGAATGATGGAGGAAGAGATGAGTATTTATAGAGGGAGAGAAATAGGTCTTCCCTAATCTTGGCCATCCATTTGAAATGTGATCTAAGGTGGGAAATAAAGCTTGTATGAGAAGCTAATTGGGACTTCCAAGAAAGACATGTGATTGGTGTGGACATGTGATTGATGTGGGCATGTGATGAGGTGATGTGTGATGGTAGGTAGTAGGTGATAGCATTCATGGTGGTTGGGTAGTTAGGTGGACACCTCTACTTTCGAGCCCGGTAGTACCCGCGAGGAGAGTCGGCATCCGTGGGTCGTCGCACGGAGGGTCGGCATCCGTGGGTCGTCGCATCGCGCGGGTCGTCGCGCGGAGGGTCGTCGCATTGCGTAGGTCATCGTGCGGTCGATAGGCATCACGTGGTGGGTCGGCAATGCGATGGGTCGTCGCATCGCGTGGGTCGTCGTGCGGTCGGTGGGCATCACGTGGTGGGTCGACAATGCGATGGGTCGTCGTGCGGTCGGTAGGCATCACATGGTGGGTCGGCAATGCGATGGGTCATCGCATCCCGTGGGTCATCGTGCGGTCGGTAGGCATCACGTGGTGGGTCGACAATGTGACGGGTCGTCGCGCGTGGGTAGGTTCGTGTACGGTGGGTCGGTGTGTACCGAGGGTCGCCCTCGCGAGCGGTAGGCGTTTCGGTCGGTCGGCACTCTCACGTGGTGGTCGCGCATGTGGTAGGCGTCACACGTCGGGTTGACATCGCACGGGTCGGCAATGTGCGGGTGGTCGGCATGGCATTATGGTTAGTCGGCCCTGTGGGCGGTCGTCACCACGGGTAGTCAGCAATGCCTCGGGTCACCGCACGGAGGG